ATGATACTGGACTGACGTATCTGACATTTATCTATAAACACCATTCAACGGATATTGAAAAAACAAATATCTCTCAAAGATTCTAATTTATGGACGTTTTCCAATTTTTAGAGCAGATGTTCAAATCTCGTCTCAGGTGTTTATACCAGACACGCTTCGGATGGAAACAGAACTTGATTGATTAATGCCCATTTACATGCATAATTCCGTCTTCAATTTTAAAATAGAATTTATGGAGGTAGGTCATTCAGGAAATGAATTTTTTTTTTCAGGAGGGAAAACCACCGTGGCAAAGATGACGAATGCATGTGCAACCTGAACCGACTTTTAAGGGGGTTGGGTTTTTCTATTAAAATAGAACCCTTTATGCACAGAATAATGAGATTTCTACCTTTAGAAGTAATTCAAATAATTTTTTTAAAGGTTGAGAATAAAGCCTCCTCGGGTATTTTGCTTTGATCAACTTGCAACTCGCCATATTTGGCTGTTTGAAGACTAATTTTTTGTATTATTGGGTTGTCCGGAAAATAATGCAGGATTTTGGTATTAAACAAAAAAAAAGAAACTAGTTACTTTAAAGCAATGTTCTTTAATCANAATGAGTAATCCTGTAAACGTAAACAGAATATTTTATATAGATTTTTTTTAATGAAAACTTAAAATCCTGCATTATTTTCCGGACAACCCAATATAATTTGTGTCAAAAAGTGCCTTCCAAATAAAAAAAAAAACCTACAGCAAGAAAAATAAATTTTTACGGCATGAATGGATAGATTGGAGCCCTATGAGAAAAATTGCTTCTACTGAAAAATTGTGAATTTTCACCTTTCGGAACATTTTCTCCAAAACGCATCATCGTATGAAATCATAATTTTTTCGTTATGTAAAACAATAATGAACAATTAATTTTAGATAGTAATTTATTTTAAAAAAGTTCAATAAGGTAAAAATATTTTTTTTAAATAAAAAAGGTGTAATATTTTGTCACAACTTTATGTTGTTGCCAAAAATTAACGATTCAGTATTTTCAAATAAACTTTACCACCAAATTTGTAGTACATTAGGAGAAATAAGAGAAAAAATATGGGTCCTAATAGAGATTTGTACCGAAAAATGGCGTACCCCTGGGCGACTCCTCGTTTGCCTCTTGTTGAACAACTAAGAAATTTTAAAAACAAAAACTCAACTACGTAAAATGTTACTGTTTGATGCTTAAACATTAAATGCAGACTATCTTATCAAAATGAAAATACATTAAGTAGAAATGGAGTTTAAAACAAAATGTGGTCAAAACCAGCTGTTCTCCTGAAAACCAGTCACGACCGACTAAGTTGGTCTCGAGCATGTCCGATGGATTCAAATCTGGACTTTGTTCTGGCCCCACTATCCACTCAATTCCATCCATGTACCTTAGAATTTATCCATGATACACTTGAATTTCGCATCGATGATCAAATGGCACTACACGTTAGAGATGCTCTTCTGCTCACCGAACAGCTCGGTTTAAACGTCGATGCCAGTCCAGAACATCGACGAGGCACCACAAACTCCCACCTGAGGGGCTATACAACATGTACCCCTCGGCGACTCCCCATGAAGTTGTTGACATTCAACACTGTTCACAGACAACACATCGACGTCTGTTTGTCAAACTAAATAATGCTTTAAAAAAATCGTCAAATACGGTAAAATTTTAATGCTTGATGCTGCTTAAATATAAAGTACAGACTTTCATGGAAAAGGAAATGCTTATCAAATTTAAAATCCATCGAATAGAAGTGGATTTAACAAAACAAATAGAAAAACCAGCTGTTCTTCTGAAAAATAGTCGCTACCCACTAAGTTGGTTTCGAGCATGTCCATGGTGGCAACGCTATCCACTCAATTCCAACCATGGGGCCTGGCAATGACCACCATTCAATAGAATTTCGCACCGATAAGCAAATGGCACTACACGATTCAGAAAAAAGTCTTGTTAGCCTCTGACGTTAAAGGTATCTCTACACCGAACTATTTGGTATGATCGCTGAAGGTAATGACACCTCATAACACCAATGTGCAACCAGGAAATGCCGCCTGAGGAAGCATACAGCCTGGAGCGAACCCCTGAGCGACTCCTGAAATTTCGACCGTATGAAGATTTAGGACCAGTAAAAAGAACCTTCACCCAATTTTCATTTGTTCATGCGTAAACCATTTTGTGAGCAGTGGTAAGGAGAGGCACATGAGACTTCTTCATACAGCCCGTCTGGAAACAGAAGCATTTCGTGTTTGCCTTATAAAACATAATATGGTTTCCAGTGAAGTACCTGTTTCGACGTATCGAAGTGCGTCGTGACACCGAGCGTTTATTATTTATTAATAAACTTGTATAATTGTTCTTACACTCAAGAAGGGCAAATTCCATTCCGCCGTTTTTACAATACACCATCAAAATAACAGAGCTTACACCAAGTTATGGTGAAATCTTGGACGGCGACCAATAATGAAACTGCATTCCCTGTCTTTATAATTTACGAGACCACTGTGGCACTGTCTTATTAGACGTTTGAACGATTTACGAATTCGTTCTCAAGGGGGGTGAATATAAAAATAAACGGTAATGTAGAGAGAATTGCAATTAAATTTCGTTTATGAGATCTAGCTCGCCTTTGACCGTTGCTGAACAATGCCGGAAATGGTTTTCCAACGAGTTATAATATTGAATTTTAATTGATTGACAACTTTTTCATTGGTGAACTCGCTCCGCAATTGTATTTTTAATTTAATTATCGTAACGGGGGACCGCAGTGGCTGAGTAGATAGAGAATTATAACTGAAAATTAAAAGGGATTTTAAAGTGGCTTGACCTCTCGTCATTGACACACAACGGGTAATTGAACGTTAACCTATCATATTACTTTTACTTACAATACACTTTAACGCGTTTCGCCTTTACGCCATCTTCAGTGAGGAACTATCGTGCAGTCTGTCGAGAGGTGATCTGTGTGATCGGTCAAACAGGTTCCGTCCTGTTGTTTGCTATGGTACTTTCTTCTAAGTAGCTCAGTTGTCTGAAGAATACAACAATGTCAAACTCATTTTAGAACTCATTCGATAATTTTGGTAGTCGCTGGTTGGTCTTGGTTAGGTATGAGGTTAAATCCTGTCACGATGCGTTCACCAAAATGGGACTATTGTGCCCCTTCACTATGCGTATCATCAGTTTACATAGCCTTGTCAGTATATTTAAAGCATTCTGCTTTTCATCTTCCATTAGTAGAAACATTTTCCTTGTTATAGTATTATATCAACCCTTCAACCCTCTTCTTAAGGGCAGAACCTGAACAAGCTATTTTCTGCCGCTCCCAATATTTTACTAAACATATTGAGTCGGCAGTCTTTTTTCCGACAGTTCGGTGCCCCTAGGTAGCCATCCATTTTGTTACCCTTCTGTCCTATAATGTCCTTGCACTCTGACAAGAAACAATTTGTCCTCTTCGTGGACGATTCGACAATCGCTTCTTTTCTATATCGGTTCGGTTCTGTCCTACTTGTAGCTGAGGACCCCTAACTTGTCACCTTCTTCTGCCCTGTGTGCCTGGATCAAGATAAATTTGTTCTCAATTCCTTCTTCTCCCAGAGTACGCAGTCTCGTAGTGTACGTAATGTTACCTGCCTTCTATTCCCAAAATATTTATTTCTACCCATGAGGGAGCAGATTTAGTTTAGGAGAGAATTCTTAACAAAATCTTTTCCGCTGACTGTTTTTCCATCAGGTATGAGTTTTTACGATGATCCATTCGACATATGGTGGCTCTGATTCTACTGGTGCTGCTGAGGATCCTAGTTAGTCTATCAACATCTTCAACCTTTCTGCACTTCGTGGCCGTGGATATAGAGAAGAGGGTTTGCTCTCTATTCTTCCTTTCATATGGTGGCTCTGATTCTACTGGCGCTGCTGAGGATCCCAGCTAGTCTATCAGCATCATCAACTCTTCAGTACTTTGTGACCTTGGACACAGAGAAGAGACAGTTTGTTCTCTACTCCTTCTTCTCCCAGTGCACTCACACAATCTTATAATGTCATCTTTCCTCAGGTCTATTGCCTTTTATTCCCAATGTTGCTTATTTCTGCCATGATGCAGCAGATTTAGTTTAGGAGAGAATTTCTTTACGAAGTCTTTCTCCTGCAAGTTTTTCCATCAGGTATGAGTTTTTACGATGATCTATACGACATATGGTGGCTCTGATTCTACTGGCGCTGCTGAGGAACCTAGCTAGCTAGTCTATCAGCATTTGCAACCGTCAAGTTTAGGCGAGACTTTCTTAACGAAGTCTTTTGCATTTCTCAGTCTTGGTATGCTGATCCACCACGTACGAGTTTTTAAATCGGCAATAACTCATTTTATATGGCAGTTCCTTTCTGGTCCCACGAGCTGCTGAGATAGTCAGTTTTTTGTTACCCTTCTGTCGTATATGCCCTTGAGCCCACGCCAGAGATAGATTATATACTGAACATGAAATAACCTCAGGTCTATTGCCTTCTAGTCCAGGTTTTTTATCTCTGCTTTCGATACAGGAGGTCTGTTGTTTAAGGGAGAGAAAAGACAACTATGTCTTTTGCCTTTCTCTGTCTTAGTATGTTGTTCCACCAAGTATTAGTTTTTAAACCCATTCGGCAATTGCTACTTTTACATGACGGTTCTGGTGCTACCAGTGCTACTGAGGCCCCTAGATAGTCTACAACCCTTCTGTCTTATGTGCCCTTGACCCAGATCAGAGACAGTCCGTATCCCTACTTCTCCCATGGTACTCACACAGTGCCCTATTGTACGTGACCTAACCATCAAGAGAGGCAATCTTACAATCAGGATTAGGTCCAGCCGGACAGTGCATTGCAATTTTTTATACAAGTCAATAATTACTCATGCTCATGCGATTTTTCTGTTTCGTTTGATTCAACCTGCTGAATATCACTTTATGGGTATAAGCAATAAATTATTCTTTTTGATTTTCAGCCGGAAGCTGTTGGTACGGTACCGGTAAGAAAGGACGGTGCACGGAATTGATCCAGGATAACATGGACCACGATACCTGCTGCGCCTACGTCAACGCAGCCTTCAGCTCACAGCAGCTCGACTCCGGTGCTTTGTTCTTCTGGAAGGTCCTCGGCGGTGGCGTGCCTTGCTCACCGTGCAAAGGTAAGAGACGTTTTTTAATTGCAATGTACTAATCCATGCAGTCTGTTTACATTTCAATTATGATGATTTACATTAGTCTCTTTTCCTTGCATCAGTAGATTTTTAAATTAAGAATCAATAAATAAAACATCTCCTGATGATGGTGATAGGGCGAAACACATCAGTGCCGGGACTAAAACGAACGGAGACAACCAAGCTACAGGTCCATCACCCCGTAGACCTCATAAGGAATTTGTTTTGCATTCTATTGGCGAAAGTTAAAAAACAAGTTTTCACCGGAGGAAAAGAACAAAAATAAAACTAGTTACCTGGAATTTTTGTAAAAATACCTAAACATTTTTGTAAGTAAATGGCGATTTCTAGTTATACCTTCTCACTACTGCCTTTTAGACTGTTTACGAACCCTGTCGTAGCAGTTCAAACCGGAGAATAGCCTGTTTTACAAGTTAAGCATTTATCTTTTTGAAATCTATCAGAAATAATGGGTAGGCGTAGTAAGAAATCGAAATTGAATTTCTATTTCACAAATTGCTCGGAGCAGACAAGGTCTTCGCCTACGCTTAGCAGCTAATAAGATGAGAAGTCATCTGATTTCACAACAGACGAAACAGTAAACAAAAGCGAAGTTTTTAACAACACCGAGAATCTTAAACAAAACGTAAATAGCACACTATCTATAGGCCAATAAAGAATATTAAACGATTTACTTTTTTTCTGAGGTCATTTAGTCGGCAAGTATTAGCGATTTTAGAAAAGGAAGACCCATCGACTTAAGAAAATTTTCTGACTGAGAGCCAAGTAATCCTTTATATTTTCTTTATCCTCGTTCGCTTGGTGAATTACACGGTAAGGGTAGAAACGTGACCGCTTACTAACTCGATGGATTTTCAGCAATGAAGAGCCACTCGTTCTTCGAATAAAAATGGCTAACCGATAGAACTGGCCTTTTATTAATTTGAGCGCTTCTGTTTATCTCAATCCAAGGCATCGCTTCTTCGCCTTTTATTTAGTAAAACAAATTTCGACTTAGTGTTTACTGATTATCAAACAATTGCAAGGTGTAGAAAACCAAAAAAGACCGTTTCTAATGGGCTGTCCAAATACTCTTTAGGTGTAAAGTTTCAGGAAATTATTTACGATCTGTGATAAACTATTGTTAATTATCTAATAATTAACAACGTTTATTACTTAGGCGTGATTCGAAACACTTTGAGCTGTTCAAACCAGGCAATTTTGCTTCTAAATCTGAGCTGAAATGAAAGACTTATATGTGGTCGATTTGAAAACTTTTCTTCAGTAGCTACGACCTACAAAATCCAACCCCTTGGAAAACCCTTAAGGTCGAACGATGACGAATTTCTTAAGGAAGCTTTAGAAGAAAATCCTTATGAAATCGTCAGAACACCCATCTCGAAAATCGTAGAAAGACAGGTTAACAGCGGATAATATAAAAAGGCTGGGAATGGAAGGCAAAAAACCTGAGGTTGGATCACGTACAGTATGAGATTGCATGAATGATCTGGTAGAAGGAGGAATAAAAACTGTCTCTTGTCTGGGTCCAAGGGCAAATAGGTCAGAAAGAATAACGAAAAAGACTGATAGACTAGCTGACCCCTCAGCGGCACGTAGAACCGGATAACAGAGCAATTAACGAAAGAATTTAAAAACTCGTACATGGTGGGATAAGTCGAAGGACTTCGTTAACAGAATCTAGGCTAAACTGCAGATCTGCTGCATCAACGACTGGGAATAGAAGGCCTGAGGTAAGATACGTAAAGTTTGACTGCGTGTGGCCTTGGGAGAAGTAAGAATTGAGGAAAAACTTGTGTTGAACCAAGAGCACAGGGCAGAAGAGTAAAAAAGGCGACTAGTCTTCAACAGCAAGTAGGACACAAATGAACCGCAAGGAGGAGTTGTCGAACCGACCATGTTAAAAACTTACTCCTGATGGAACAACACTCAGCCAAAACACTACGTTAAGAAAGACGGTAAGAAAGAACTGTTGCATCAACAGCAGATACAAAAAGATCGGGTATAGTAAGCAATAGGACTGAGGTATGATAATATACAGTGTGGGATTGCGTGTCTGTCTTGGTAGGCTAAAACACACACACACACACACACACACACAACATATACACACACACACAAAGTTCTTATAGAGCATTGAATGGCATTGATCTGCGGGAGGTAGTGGCAGGCAAAATTTACTCAAATAGAAGATACTATGTACATTAATAAATGGGATAAAAAACTATCAACGATTCTCAGTATAAAATTAAAACGTCAATCGCTCCACGAGCTCTGCACGGTACTCCAGTGCACTCGCAGTAGCCCAGCGAGGATAGGCGGACCAAGAATGGTAAGGATCAAATTATAAAACAGAAGAGCTTGAGAGAAGGTTGGGCAAGATAGCTAGTTGCGAATTTCTTCGCTTAGATTTTCTTTCAGAAGTGAGATGGCAGAGAGTTGAGTGCCAAAGAACCAAAGCCTAAAAACCTATTCACCTTCCTACCCCGGAAAACTATGATTTTTATTTTATTTAAATTTACTGATAATTTTCAATGAGACCAATAATTTTGCAAAGCGTCAATGCTTTTAAATGATGCGTTGGAAAAGGGAATTCCGAAATTTACAGCGATAACAACAAAGGGCTGAGGACGCAGCCCTGTCCAACTCCAGGTTCAACGGAAAACTATTGAATTTGACACATGTCACTTTGTTTATTATTCTTTTGATAAGAGAAATTATTAAGACTATTCTGGCTTATGTGTGGACTTCGTGGGCAGACTTGAATATTTCGGGACCACCTTTTTTAAATTCCAACCGATTGCAGCAGTCCTAAATGTGCTTCTAATTACTTCATCTTAAAAGGCCTGGGCAATTATTTTGTTCATTAATCATTTCGAATTGCGCCAGCGATCCTTTCCAATGACGCGTATCCAGACAGAAAGGTAAAAGCTAAACATTTATAAATGTTGGCACCACCTCTGATCCAATGTGGATTTTCAATTGGTTAATAACTGGCGTTGTCTTTTTTAGTTTGTCCGGCATTAATGTATGTTGCTTCACCGCTAAATGGCCTATTCTCAGAAAATTACAGCCAGTTTGTAAGTTTTATGTCACAAAATTGACATAATTGTACCCTATTTTTAAAACCATTTTTCCTCGGCGCAGCTCAACACGATAGGGTTGAAATGTTGGACCTTTTTGGAACGGTACTTCGAGAGGCTTTCCAGGGGCCATTTTCATTCCGTGCTATCGGACAATGACACGAGGGGGAGTGTCTTCTTAATATTACACATTTAGACCGAATTTTTCGATTCTACAAATCTCGTATGATGAATTATAATAATAAATAATAGTTATCGACCACTAAAAATAAAAACACCCACCCTCTTAAGGGCTAAATCCGACAAGGAGCTCAACTACAAGAACACTATTGAATTGTGGACGTGTTACCTAACCTGTTTCTAACCCTAACGCTACTCAACGTAACCATTTTTAACTTTAATACTACTCATGCGGTAATGGTCCCTCGTCAACTCGCTTGATCTCACTTTGTACTGTGAAGCTTCTAGAGCTGTATGATCTGCACTTACCCCAGTACCTTATTGTTAGATCGAAATATAGGATTGTAACGGTATCTCTTTCCTCAGCTTCTTTAAGAAATTAATCATCGATCGATGTTGAGGGCCTTCCGGTTGGTTTCATGTGTACAAGCTGAAGAAACATCTCCAAACCAGTGAAATGTTTGGAAACTACCTCGCAGGCTCAAAGAACATACTTTCCGGAAAAACATCGAATAGTGGAACTTAACCCTAATCAAACTCTTACCTTAACTTATCCGTTCTTAACCTAACGTAACCTCCAATTTGCAGGTATTTACTTTAGACGACTAAACCCAGCGAAATAAGACGGACCAAGCACCGGATAAATGTTTAACTTGCATTCTCAAAGATCACGCTTCACGGAAAAAACATTAAAACTTGGATGTGTAACTTAATAACTAATCTAACGCTTACCCTTTCTAACCTAACCATTCTTAACGAATCTTAACCTAACCCTATAATAATAATCCCTCGTAATCCTTATCCGCCTGATTTAGCATTGTACTTATGAAAGTGCGCTCATTAGGCCACAAATTCACAAGGTTCCTTTTTTTAAAAAAGTAAAATTTGTTGAACATTTTAAAACCTAATCCTTAATTACTATTATTTTTAATGAACAAACGTCACGGGTCAAAGACGATTTAGTATTACATTAAATAAAGCAGCTAATGTATTTAGGTTTATTTCATACTCGCATATTTTCTCCGCTTCGTGGAAAAATAAAGAATCATAGATATTTAAGCTAACCTTCCCTAATCCTAACCTAACCCGTTTCTAACCCTGTCTAACCTAACGTAATTCGTCCCTGTCCTGACCCTAACCCTAACAATAACCATAACTATAATCTAACTTAACTCGTTCTATACCCTAATTCTAACCGAATCTAATTTGTCTCTGACCCTAGCATTAACCGAAATATAACCTAACCTAATTAAGCTCAAACCTTGCAAAAAATAAAAGTAGAGTTGATTATCGATATTGATGGCTATGTGTTCATGTAAGTAGAATCCATTTAATTTCTACTACTTATTTTGTATCGCAGAAAATAAGGGCAGATTTCAAATGAATAACGAATGGAACACAAGCCTACAGTATTAGAAACTTGATATTTCTGTTTCTACCACGTGGTTTTTTTTTAACAGTAAAGAAACGCAACGAAATAATGAAAAGTGTATTAAAAAATACACATTTTTTGCAACGTCTAACAAAAAAATGAGTATTTCTGTGCCATAGCACACTTTTCAAACATTGAATCATGGATATATATTCTAACCCAACATAGACGGTAGGGTCCTTCATGATCCTGACATCGTTTGTAAGTTGGAAAAAAGGTTAAGGGTCAATGACGATTTCGTATTAAACCAACCCTGGCAACTAATATTTTTAGGG